TTGCTATATCTACACGAAGAATGGGAGCAATGTGTGGTGCATAGGGACATAAAGTCAAGCAATATTATGTTGGATTCCAATTTCAATGCCAAACTTGGGGATTTTGGTTTAGCTAGACTAGTTGACCATGAAAAGGGATCCCAAACAACAGTTTTGGCAGGTACAATGGGCTACATGGCCCCCGAATGTGCCACCACTGGGAAAGCTAGCAAGGAAACAGATGTCTATAGCTTTGGTATCGTCGCCTTAGAAATAGCTTGTGGAAGAAGACCTATTGACCGTAAGGCTGAATCAGATCGTCAAGTAAATATTGTTGAGTGGGTTTGGAGCCTTTATGGGATGGGAAATATTAACGAATCAGCTGATCCTAAACTCTCATTAGAGTTCAATGAAATGGAGATGAAGCACTTGTTAATTGTTGGTTTATGGTGTGCTCATCCAGATAGCAATTGTAGGCCTTCTATTAGGCAAGCAATTCATGTCCTTAATTTTGAAGCTCCATTGCCCACCCTCCCTCCAAACATGCCTGTTCCAACATATTGCAGTCCATCACAGCATTTATCAAGTGCTTCATTTTCATCACCATATGACACCAACGCATCTCGGATTACTGAAATACAGTATTCAGTGAACAAAGACTACACTGATTCTTCAAATAACACAGCAGCTTCCGCAGCATCTTCACCTTCAGCATCACTTCTATACTCGCGTTGATATTGTCTTATAAGGAAATTTGTCTATAAATCCTTGCATTCAATCTTTCACTAGCTGGCTCCAACTTTTGCTCTTCTTAAACTTTATTGTTTCTCTTTTTATGAATATAAGATTGAATGAATCAACAATTCTAGTTCAAAGTTTCCATTAAATAGTGAAAATACTATGTTCTTAAAGACATGTCTCACTTGCGATCAATGGATGTATTCTAACTTTGATTAGAAGTTGAATTGGAGGGAAGAAAGAATGTTTCATTAATTTTTCCTTCATTTTAAACTGATCCATTTTAGAAGAATTTTTGAACTGAGCTTGTGCTAAGTATATTCTTCACCAAAATATTGATAGACATGGACTGTAGCTTAATTGCAGTCTGGACAGGACAAGATATTTGATTTGTCTGCTCGTGTCCTCTATCATTTATTTCCTCGCTCGCAAATAGAATAGAATTAATGAGTAATAACACTAAGTATATGCAAAAAGTGGAATCCTTTAACACCAGGAGAGAAATGAAAGACACAGTGAAAAAATTCAGAAAAATTGGAAAGATGACTTGAATGAAGAGACAAAATCTCTAGCTGGGAAAGACTCCTAATGCTCTCAGGCAATTGAACTGATTTCGAACGAGATATATCTCTCAGATGTGGAAAATTTGCAAAATCAGGGAATACATGGCCCAGAAATCTGGTTCATTGAAAGGTCTAAATAAACGGGGCTAGAATGCTGGCTGCAACATTCTACACTGAAGCCACTCAGTTAATTACTTTCAGTATCTATTCAGTAGGAGTTGAAAATCATGAAATATCAGGAAACAGACCACTTATCTTATTTCCAACCTAAAACAAGATACACCAAAATGATGTCATGTCTCCAAAAGCATCGGGTATGTCACTTTGCAGATTGTAATTATGCCGAAGCTCTACATGAGTAAGTCTGCTACTGAATTTAAAAACCCAAGTATATACTGAAGAAGGAGACAGATAATGAAGGACATATCAAGGCTAGAAAAGGGATGCATCGGCTAAGGAAAATGGAGAAGCAAGAGAACAAATTAATTGGCTGCTTTTTTTGAGATCAACATTATAAGTCAGGTCAAAGCATCTCAATGAAGGAAGATTTAAGATCCAATCAAGCTAGAGAAATTGCAACTGTGAAAGGTGCCGAATCTGATGAGTAATCAGACCAGAGAAATTAGCATAAGAAAGATTAAGATACTTTTAACTTGACGTGACGAAGAGAGTCTACCATAATCGTCTACAAGTATGTCTTTCAGATGAAGTAGAACTTGTCTTTCTTTATCCATGCACTTGAAACTTGAACATTTTATTAATACAAATATAAAAACTTTAAGTTTTGGGACCTATAGCATTTTTAGTCTAAACCAACAACAACAACAAACGTAATGACTCCCACAAGTTAGGTCTGGGAAGGATAAGATGTACGCAGACCTTACTCCTATCTTTGTGAAGGTAGATAGGTTATTTCCGATAGACAATCGGCACAATAGAATATGAGAAAGAAGCAATAGCAGCAAGCAGTACTTTTTTAGTCTAAACCAAATGCTTTAATTAATGGTCTTATCATTTAGCTGGCCATGAGTTAGAACAATGTAAAAAGCATACAAAATAGAAGTCTTTAATATGTCAATGGTCAACTACTTTTGCTTTTTGACTGTCGTCGGGACTGAAACAAGTCAAGTGAGCAATTTCCATCTCTTCTATCTAAAGACTAGAATAGGCTAAACATTTCTTAGGTCTACATATTTTTTAACCTGGTCTTTGCTAGTTTTTTTTTCTTTTCAGGACAGTGAATAGTAGTACTTTAAATTTACATTAATTTTGTTGTACCGAAACAAAATTTAAGAACTGCAAAAATTCTGAACATTTCTAGCATTTCAAGAGTGTTGGTATTCTCCACCTTAACGATTTTGTTTAGCTTCCATTTTCTTGTTGTATTTTTAAGACAGAGACAACATGTGATTGCTGCATTGCATAATTCAGAGTGGAATTAGATTGGAGAGAATGTCTTTTTTTTTTTTTTAATCTTTATACGCTTCTTAAAAGGGAACAGAACAGAACCTTCTCAAATAAAAGGGAATGGAATGTGAGATTCCGACTTCCACAACAGTATAAGTCCAACATACAAACTGTACTAACAATTATCACTAAATGTAGGTTCTGCTAAAACAACATGTAATCTTACTATATTCCTCCCATTGAAGTTCAAAATTTCTCATTTCCTTTTGAGTAAATTAGGAAAGGTGTGGGGGTGGTGGGGTAAGTCAATTATAATTCACCTGTGAAAAAAATAAATAATGTTTCTTGCTTCCTATAAGAGGGAAGGAAAGTCAGTCTTAGGACCTTTTCAACTACCCTGTGTTTAAAAATTTACTAGCTTTGATATGATCTGTTGAAAATGAATACATCTCAATAAATTTATGGATGTAAAACTTGACGAAATCATTAGTTTTGCACTTGAAAAGATGAGAAAATGAGAAAGATCTACCATAGGCATATAGATAGATGATTATCTTCAGTTTTCTAAAAAACTAATAAATATTTTGTCCAACTATGGGTGCTTTTGCATATCTATTTGCTGTCAAATTCCTTGTCTTTCCCCTTATGGTAATCCCTTTTGCCACTTCACTGTCCTTCAGTTTTGATCACTTTACTTCCAATATTGATCAGAATATTACAACAACAAACCCAGTGTAATTCTATACGTGGGGTCTGGGGAGGGTAGTGTGTACGCAGACCTTACTCCTATCTTTAAGAAGGCAGAGAGACTGTTTCTGGAAGACCCTCGGCTTAGGAAAGGTAAAAGGAAGGGAAACAACAAGCACACCAATTAGAAAACCAAAGCAAAAATACAAAACTAAATACACTAGATACTGCAATCAGAAAGCCGAAACGAAAGCAACAACAAGTAATCACAGAAGTCAAGAGACACGAAAATACACAAATAACACTAAATCATGTAACTAAAGCTACTGTTACACACAAGGATAACGCTCGGCTACTTATCATAACCGTTCACCTTTATTTTCAACCTCCACACCCTCCTATCCATGTCCATGTCCTCAGTAAGCTGGACCAATGCCATATCTTGCCTAATCACCTCTCCCAATACTTCTTTGGTCTGTCTCTACCTCTCCTTAGGCCCTCTAGGGCCAACCTCTCATACTTCCTCATTGGTGTATATGTGCCTCTCTTCTTCACATGCCCGAACCATCTAAGTCTCACCTCCCGCATCTCGTTCTCCACCAAGGTCATGCCTACCTTGTCCCAAATAACTTCATTTCTAATTCATCTAACCTGGTATGCCCGCACATCCATCTCAACATCCTCATTTCAGCCACCTTCATCTTTTGGACATGGGAGTTCTTGATTGACCAATACTCCGCCACATACAACATAGTCTGTCTGACCGCGGCTCCGTAGAACTTATCTTTAAGTTATGATGGCACATTCTTACATATGATGCTTATCCAGCAAATGGTGCAATTCAACTTGCCACATACTCGAAACCACTGCATCTTTGGGACAAGGCCTCTGGAAATGTCACAGATTTCACTACTCACTTCTCCTTTAGCATCAACTCACAGGGAAGAACAAGTTATGGTGATGGTCTTGCCTTCTTCCTTGCACCTGCAGGTTCAAGAATTCTTTATGACAGTGCAGGTGACAACCTTGGCCTTTCTACGATAAGTCAGCAACTGAATACATCGAATAATCATTTTGTTGCTGTGGAGTTTGACACCTTTCAGAATGTCGAGTACAACCCGATGGATGATCACGTAGGTATTAATATCAAGTCTATGCAATCTGTTATTAATGTAACCTGGTTTAGTAGCATTCCAGCTGGTAAGAGAACTGATGTCTGGATTAAGTATAATTCAACATCAGAAAATCTTACTGTTGTCTTTACTGGTTTCAAAGATAATTCTACTGTCACTGTCATGCAGAGCCTATCTTACAATCATGATCCGAGAGAATATTTGCCAGAATGGGTCATTTTTGGCTTCACAGGTGCAACAGGAGACTTCTTTGCACTAAAAAGCATCTATTCTTGGATTTTTTCTGCTTCTTTAGAAGATAATGACAGCTGCAGATCCATGGGTAGCCCTACCAAACCCCAAGCCAAAGCATGCACAAAGAAAAACAAGTTAAGACTTGTGGTTGGATTAGTTTCTGGCGGTAGTCTTTTAGTTGCAGTATGTATCTTGATGTTATTTGCATTTTGGAGAAAGAAAAAGGTGATAGAAGGTGAAGGTAATGATATCTTTAATGGTTCAATGACTGTTGAATTTGAAAGAAGCACAGGACCACTTATCAAAAAAAAAAAAAAAAAAAAACAAAACACGACGAACAAAGTACGTTACGTATATAGTAGTGACTAGATAGTAACAAATTAA